CCAAAAGGCATTCGCCATTTTACGGATGATCCGACGCACCTTCTCCCGTATTACGCGCATGAACTTCCAAATACTCTATGGGGCCTACGTCAGACCGCTCCTGGAGTACGCTAACCAAGTTTTCTACTCAGGACGTACGAAAGACTTTACCCTCATTGAGCGTGTCCAGCGGGCCGCCACTAGAATGGTTGCCGGCCTCAAATCCGTGGACTACGAAACGCGTCTCGCGACGCTTGATCTCTTTCCCCTGGAGTACCGTCGCCTCCGAGGGGACCTAATTCTTACCTACGCCCTGTTTGAACAAAGCTTGGCAAACAGGTTTTTTACCGTTGACCCAGCAAACACCCGGCGGGGACATAGTAAGAAAATCTTCAAGCTCAGGGCACACACATCCGTTAGACAAAACTTTTTTTCATTTCGGGTAGTAGCTGCGTGGAATGACCTTCCTCCGACGGTTGTACACGCTCTTTCTCGAACCCAATTTAAAGCACTATTAGACATTTGTTTATGCGAATCCTCGCGCTGGCGAGCATACTGCCCCGCGCTGAGAACATAAAGAGCAGTGCTACACCCTTTTTTCCCTTGTGCCTTTCAGGTGAACGACAGTCACTGACCGACAAGAACAAAACCGAGGAAAGAAACTTGGGCAAAAGCCTCGATCCTGTGTATCAATCCGTGAATCCGTGAATCCGTGAATATATCCGGCAACCTTATTGCGCTCAAGGTCAATCCGTGAATCCGTGAATCCGTGAATATATCCGGCAACCTTATTGCGCTCGCTCAAGGTCGAGGTCACGGTGCGGAGTTGTAATTCTCTCGGCTCATCGTTTTTTCAGGCTCTCAATATTCACACAACGGAATTATATTTTCGAAGGCTGACTTGCCCCTGATGGACGAAAACAAACGGAAAATTGAGTTCTAAATATCAGCCCAAACTTTTGAACCTTATATAAGCATCTCGGGGTCCCAGTGATGTCAGGAAAGTCGTACACCGGAATTTCCCGCCAGAGGTATGAGTGCTTCAATGGACAGTGAAATTTGGTGATCAGCAAAAATATGAACGTAGCTTGAAATAGTTTTGCTTTAAGCATATACGCAACAAAGTGGAACACTTCGGCGTAGAAAGATTTATTCTAGTTGCAAAGGTTTTGCAGCTAGGTGCGTTGTGCTGCCAAGGCGCCCCTTTTTTACGCGCGACGCGGTGCAATCCCAATACCCATTGGCTAAAATCTCAATGGCGGGAATATTCGAAAGTAGCGGTCGCAGTGAGAGATTGCCCAATCACTTTTCCGTACTTCTCATATTTAGACGCCGAGGGACTATGTTGGCGGATGTGATGTGATCGTTCC